CTTCCTTCCCCACCTTAGTCCGGCAGGTGCGGGCCTCAGGATCCAGCAGTGGCACAACGGTAGGAGTCGGCGGCGGAAACATGGGTTGTGGGCGGCTGCGTGAAGGGCTGCAGCGGCAGTAGTGCGTGGCAGCCTCCGGCGGCTGTGAACGTCGAGATCTAGGCCCAGGCGGCAGAGGCCAAGGTTGGCGCGAGCTGCGCGTGTCCACCCATGCCGTGGTCGCGGCTGGTGGTGGTGGAGGCGCATCAGCGATGGCAGGTGGGCATGCTAGTAGGTCTCAAGGTGTTTCGCCGGCTCGATGATGGTGGCATTGCCGATGGTGACCGAGTCTTCATTAGTGACTTTCCGCGGTTATGTGTCAGCCATTGAGGTGGGGCGGCATAGGGGTGTGTTCGGTGGGGAGGTTGGCTAGAGGGATGGGCGGCGCCGACGTGCTCGGGCCACCCATCACTGGCACAGAGGTATGTCTGTCCGGATGCGAACACTCCCCCAACTTCCCCTTTCCCTGGATACTTGCACGTTGTGGCAGCTCTGGCTATGTCCAAGGCGGGACATATGCTATGGTTCGTTGATTGGGGGTGTCCCTTTGGTACAAAGCATATCTCTTTGGATGGTCTTGGGGGTGTTGAGATGACGGACGGCGGCCCTGACGGCGGGAGGCATGGCGTTCGGGGCGGAACCTGCGTCTCAGGGTCGGGCGGGAAGCCATGGCATCGCGGGGGGCTTGGCAGAGGGTCGTTGTGGAGCAGGGGTGTGTCGGAGGGGTGTTAACGTCGGGGTACATCACTTGATCAGTTCTTGTACTGGCCGTTGGTGGCAGCATCCGTGGACGTCGTATTCTTCATGAAGGCTCTGTCGCGGTGCTCCCACTCTTTGCGTGTGGCTCCGAGTGAAAACTTAATCCGCGGATCAGTCGGTGGTGGCTATCCATGACCGTACCCTTCTGGGAGGCACAATCTTGGAATCCTTGATTCATCATTGTCCGTCTCACCCCTCCTCGGGAGTGCGGCGGTCTCCGTCATCTCCAAGTAGTTTGCTTGGTTGTCCTCCGATTATTGTGATGGTGCCTGGCACCTTTGTATCTTGCTTTGGTTGTGTGATGTTGTGTGTCGCGGTGGCGTGTGTTTATATCGGTTCGCTCGGATGTCTGTGGTGATGTTGCTTTATAATATAAACTGGGAGAAACCCCTTTTTCGGTAACGTCTAGATTCTAAGTTTACATGATACAAGTCTTGGTTTTGTACTTACACCGTTATAATCCTTGGAATCTGGTTGCTCTTAGAGTAGTCACAAGTCAATCCTTTCCAGGAATACTCTATTGGGGAGCATGGATCTCCATTCCAGCTTGTCCGTGCCAAATTGTATTGTGCCTTGACGTCTTTCATGTACTTTACTACAACAGCAGAAAGACAAGTGTAAATATTTGGACAGCATAAAGTAGCTGTATTAGATTAGCTTAAGAAGCACATTATTTAAGCAATATATCCTCCGTTCCGAAATATAAGCCCTTCTGGGGATTCCAATACGGATTACATATGGAGCAAAATGAATGAATCTACACAACAGCAACGGCCCACCAGGACAATCTACACTCTAAAATATGTCTATACATTCGTATATAGTCCGTGTTGAAATCTCTAAAAGGTTTTAATTATATTTAGATACGGAGGGAGTAGAACTGATTAAATTGAACTAATTCATTTATCAACTAGGGTTTTCCAATGGCACATTAGATTATTTGACCTTTAAAGGATGGTTTACTGTGGAATTGAGTGTGCAACTGGTTGATAAACTTGATCTTATTACTTAACTGAAGATCATGAGGTGTGGAATTTTCAGGGGTCTAGACAGTGAGGTCATTAGCATTTGTCAATTACATGACGATCATGTGAACCTGCTGCTACATACTGCCTCCGTCTCAAAATAAGTGTTTTAACTTTATACTAGCTTCAGTACAAACTTGTACTAAAGTTGAGATACTTATTTTGAGACGGAGGGAGTACATGACAATAATCTTACCATCATCAGAGTCGGTGGTGAGATTCTTCATCAAAACAAGTGCGTACACCTCCAACGCGTTGATGAGTGGCGGAAGACTCGAGCTGGCCGTCTTGTTTAAGATGAAGTATGCGTCGCCCGTCTGCGTGAAAAGCCCGCTCTGGTACAAGCTGTCCACCTTTAATCGTGACGGGGAAAAACCTGGGAACAGCCCTTCACCGGCGCTGTAGATGTTGAACCTCCTGTTCGGGTTGCTCGCGTTTAGCTCGGTGAAGTGAAAGATCGGGAGAAGCTTTAGGGTCAAAGCGTCTTTATTGGATAGCGATGACAGGCTGACTGTTATGCTGGAGTTGTTTGCGTCTATGCTCATGGCATTCTGCAAGATGGCGGATGGCACCTTGAACCCGTTGCCTGGGAGGTTCTCCAAGTTATCGCTGGTGTTCAGGCTGATATAGGGGTACTGGTAGAGGTCTCCCATTCGCACAGAATAGCTTCCCCAGAAACGGTCATAATTATCCGTTGGATATCTTCATCGCACACACAATGAAAAACAGATAAATAGCTAGCACAATATTCTAATCTCTTACTAGTATTTACTTAAAAGCTAATTGCTATAGGATCTAGCAATCCCTGATTTCTTGTTGCTTTTGAGATTTACTACTTCCTCTGTTCACTTTTATAAGGCTTTATAGATGTTTCAGACATGGTGCAAAACAGCTCAATTTCACTTGTCTAAAACGACTACTTTCTGGGTACTTTCTGTTAGAAGCAATTGCGGAATCAGGAAACAAAGAAGTAGCAAACAAAATGTGCCAACCTAGCAAAATGAAATTAAGACAACCATTGATAGGCATATTTCAGATATAATTCAAAGGGAAACTAGTATTATGGATGGCAGACTTGTCTCACCTTGTGATAACCTCGGTGATGTTGCCAAATCTGAGTCGAATAAACATGCTGACTGACACAGAAGTATTGACAAAAGGGTACATGGTATCTAGTAGTGGCCTCAGCTCCAAAGAAGATATGAAAGGAGTCCCGGAACCGAAATTTACCAGGCAAACGGACACTGAGCTGCCTGTAGCAACGGTGACCACCTCCTTCCATACCGCATCATCTGTACGCCAATTTGATAAGTCCACCGAATCCCAGAAATTGACGCCGACATAGAGCCCAAACCGAAACAGGGACCCGTCCTGAGTCTTGTTCAACCTATCATAGTTGCCATAAGTAAATATGGCCCTCAACAGATACTTCTTACCAGGGGTGGCTGGCAGTGTATAGCAATTCCTTGAACCGTCAGGGAAGCTCCTCAGGGTGTTTTGGTTATCATCTATTGTGCTAGCCATGAACTCTGGTAAAACCTCGTGCTTCTCACCGCCCTCGACAAATTCATCATCAAAACTGTACCGCAGTTTTAAGTTGGCGTCCTCGTAGGCACTGAAGTTTTTCAATCCACAATCGATGTTTATGAACCCTGCACGAACACAGAGTACGACATATCGTTATCATGTGTTTCAACTTAAAGGTCTACAAAGCAATGGTCACGGCTTATGCGGCTACACATGCAGTAGCTAGTAAATATTTCTGATTTCTTAGACTTCAGCCATGTGAGAATGTTTGAAGTTGCAGGCGTAAGAAAACTGAAGTGTGCGTGCAGATGTTGCAGAGCTTAAAATTAAAGGTCTAGGAATGAAGAAGGGAAAGCTAGGAGGACATGATTTGAACATTACCGGGAGGAGGTTGGGCTCGGACTTGAGTAGTCATGACCAGGATGAGAAGCAGCTCAAAGATCCATGTCAACTCTCTACCGGAGCCGATCGCCATGTGGTGCTCTTTTGTTATTGGGATGTGTGAAGCAAGACACAAACGATGTGTGCAGTTATATAGCAAAGAATGACAACTACCACGGTTTGGTAGTGTGCAGTATTTGATACCGGCCGGTTTGGTTGACCAGACTCGGCGCTGGATTAACAATGCAGAGGAGCCAAAAACCGGTTTGCTCATCATTAGGCCGGCGCTGGAAAGAAATGTATATATGCAACTTGCATTCATGTCATGCATCAAAAGGAAAGAGACTGCAGCTTTCCCCGTTAGAAACCAGCCTGCCATGCCAAACTCTAACGACGTACAATCATCACAGGGGAAAAAAATAACAACTTGCAAGGGTAGTTCCACGATGCTACGCTAACGGACCCGGCTGGCTGATATAAGAATGAGCAATAACGCATGTCTCAGTCTCTGACGTCAACAAGAAGTTTTTATTTCCACGCAATCTCATCATCGGCATGTATGTGGTCGCATGTCGCCGATGGCCGATAGTCACAAAAAGGATAAGCGTACAGTGGGAGAATATTTTTTTCGATAAGGGACGATTTATTACTCAAAAGGTTTAAGTGTTACATCGGCCTCTGCATAACTAAGATGTATACAGCCAAGCCAAATCCAAAGTCACTAAGAAAAAACAGGCGAAATACAAGTAATCATAATATTGAATGACGCCTAATCCGTGGGAGGGCCAACCATAAGATCATGTTGTCATCCATGTCAGGTAAAACTATCGCTCACCATGTTCTCCAAGCATGTACACACCTCCTTCAACAGGCCTCGGTTCTCCACACGGTGTAGAGACGACCATAAACAAAGCGTACCGGTACATCTACAGATAACCTACATAAGAGAAATGCTCTTATCATTAAAAATCTTGTCATTTCTACATACCTACTGCGACCAAATAATGGCAAGCGTTCACACCCCGAGGAGAATTCTAAACTTGTAGTCAATCTCATGTAACCAGTTGCCAAATATGTTAAAAATACTATGTGAAAGATACAAGCCAAAATCTACTTGGATGACCAACCATATAAAACGAGCTAATTTGCATTGGAAAAACAAGTGTTTTATTGTTTCGTCGTGGTGCGAGCGAAGACTTCCTATTTACAAGCGTACCGCGCCAACAACCACCGCAGTCGGAAGCGATCGAGCTGGAGACCCGCATGCTTGTTGAGCCTGCGACGACTTCCTTGCTTCTTAGATGAAGAGGCACGAAGTGGCCAGCTTTAAATTAATAAAGCCCACAAGGTTCACATGTTACAGCTTAGGTTCCTGTGGATCCCAGGTTACAATAAGGATTGTAAACGATCTGGAATGAGTTCAGCCCTTACACTAATTCAATAGGAAAGCCATCTGAAAGCATAAGTAGAGGAAATGGTCGAAACTGGCTCGCAGGTAACTTGTACAGGTAACACAGCTCCGTGACCAGCATGTCGATGATGCTGCAGTCCTCGGGCTTGGAGAGAAGCCTCCATTGCTCTAAGAGCAAACCAATTTTGAAGAAGCGATCAGCAGGTTGCCGCGGAAAAATATCATCGATGGCGAACTTGATTCTAATGTTCCAAAGAGCCCAATAAAGAACGGGAAAAAGAAGCCACACAAAAGTCCTACCTTTGCCAGAGAGGGCTAAGATGATTACCCAGAATTAGTCAAAATTTTGCGGGTTCCTTAGGAACCATCTGAGGGGCCGTGCCGCAGCTCCATCTGGTCTCCATAGGGGAGACAACCACTCATAAGTTGCGAGATTTTTTTTATTTTAAGAGGGGTTTCGGAAGACCAGAAAAACTTCAAAATATAGGTAGCTCATAAATGTGAAGGATCATGTGATAAAGGGAGGAAACTGTGAATTTGCCCGAGGATTCCATGGCCCAAGAGACGGAGTCTTGCTCTGACGAAGGGCCGATATCCTCGATTTTAAGACAAAGTTGTTCCCACTGGACCGGTTCATCCGGGCCAAATATGAGGCGAAAAAACAGACTCTAGCCATCGCTCACATGCGCTTGCAAGGCCAAAGTAACAGGGCGAGAGGAAATTTCAAAGAGCCGTGGGTACCTAGCAATGTGGGGGTTCTCCCCAGTCCACCAATTATTCCAGAAGAGCCATTCCATCACCCATCTGGAATTTGGCCCAAGTTTGAAAAAAAAAATGTTGATGCTATGCAAAAACTGAGAGCCCCCAAGTGCATTGGCAGCAAATATATTACGAGCGCTCTGGTACTTGGCGTGAAGGAGTTTATTCCTTGCTCACCTTGGAAAGTGGTGGCGCACGGACGTATGCGCGAGCCCGAAGATGCAACCTCGTTGGTAAAGCACTTGTTGTTTGCTAGGGCGCTCTCCAGTTCAATCCGAGTGTATATGCAATTTGGCGGTGCGTGTGCGCTTTTTTTCGATAGCGCAATCCAGCTCTATCGACTTCTCTTTATCCGTCTAAAATTTAAGAAATGCATAACTTTCAAACTGAGCGTCCAAATCAAAATCAGTTTTCATTGTAGTGTTCCTCACGATGATATCTTTGAAACTATATCCCACATGTACACATCATGATTTAATCCATAAAAATAGTAGATAATTCATGATTGTAATTACGAGTATTGAACTAATCATGTGTACTCCTAGGCATGGTGAAAATAACAGATCTAAAGCAAATGTACAAAAGAGAAACTGCAAACGGTGAAGAATCTCAAACGGGGAAGACAAAATCACATACGGTGAAGTGGAACTAGAACCGCTGGTGGTGTAAGCCATGTTGCCGAAGAGGTTGTCGATGTCAGGGAAGATATCATCGTTTGGGAAAGTAGTCGTTGTTAGTAGTGACGGGAGTGCGCTACCTGTTAAGCTAAACGGCTCTCCCCCGGAAAGGTTCACTAGAGGCAGGTTTCAGAGGCCTATTGTCCCTTTTCACATTGCACTCTGAAAGATGGGATGGAGCAGACTTGGGTGGCGATGCAATGTTCTGAAACCGGGTGGAACCATACACTACCGGAATAACTTAATATCCGGACAGCATTTACTATGCTGACGGTGGGTCGTCGGCATAGGTTGACATTTGCAGAAGGTCTGGGAAAAAACGTCGGCATAGAAAAGCTGTTAGCAAACCTCCAACTATGCTGACGGCAGCCATCGGCATACCTTAATCTATGCCGATGCTATCGGCATATTCTTGGCCCTGGCGACCCGGCTAACACAATCAGAACTATGCCGACGGCCCTAACGGCGGCCTTCGGCATAGATTTTATCTGTATTTTTTATCTTAAATCATTATCTCTTTAAAGTAAAATTTTTGATTAATTTAAACCTGGCTTATCTAAGCTTGAAATATACAATTATATATCGATTTGGGGAAGAATTTTCATAGATTATTAATATCCAGTTTGTTTTTGTTTTTGAGTATGTTAAAAATGTGATCTCATGTACTTTTGTATATAGGTCCTTATACTTGTTAAAATCACAAGTAATTGATACTTGCGTTGATTTTGACAAATTTTATATGTTTTTTTAGGATCTTGAAAGGATTATGTTGCTATACTATGTTTTCAAATTTCAACAAACTGAAATCATGTTCACTTTAGATTTACAAAAAACACCCTTTTGTTTTGACTTTTTTGTATATTTTTAATTCCTTGGCAAAACGAGACAAATTTTATATCTACATCCATCAAATTGTTTCTAGGATTAATTGTGGTAGGTGTAAACACCCAACACACAGCTTCGGAGTGTGGCCTCCTTCACAAACTGCAATGCCATCTGGACTACGATAGAGGGTCAATCAGGAGGGCATCTTGCTTTAGGTTGGGCTCAAAAAATTTCCTATGGGCTAGCCTACCACAACCAGGTGGAAAAGTCTATTCGTCAAAGGGAGTCCGATGAAAGTCAAAGGGCTACATCTCCGGGTCAACCGGACTAGGGTTAGGCCGCTCAGGGGCCTTCAGGGAGTAGCAATGCCACCAAAACATCGCGTTGGGTCCTCATACATGTCTTAAAATGTGGTGGGATGATTAAAGAGGCAATGTGCACCTCTAGAGTGTGACCCCCTTCACGGACAGCAATAACACCGAAGTAACGTTCGGCAGGTTTGTTGTTGCATGAATATTCCTGAATAGTCAGAATGTGTCAATTTTGAGAAATTTTGACACAGTACAAACATAGTAGCTATAGGCTATGTGGTAAATTTTTCATATTTTTAGAGATGCAGATCTGTCTAAAAAAATCCTCTTTATAGATCATTCTTTGCATGTCTATAAGTGTGGCGGGGCTCATCGGGTTAGTAATCCCAGCAAAACTTGCCTTGGGTACTCATACATGTCTGAAAGTGTGCTGGGATGTTTAAATAGGCAATATGCAGCTCCAAAGTGTGACCCCGTTCACGGAGGGCACTGTCGTTTGCACTTATAGTGGGAAACTGCGACGGAGGGTCAAGCCGGAGGGCTCTTATGATAGGTTCGGCTCAAAATTAGTTTTAAAATGTTCCTATGGGCTAACCTACCACAACCAAGTGGAGAAGACCATTGGTCAAAGGCCATCCGGTGAAAGTCAAAGGGCTAGATCTCCATATCAATCAGGCTATGGTTAGGCCGCTCAGGGGCCTTCTGTTGGGGAATATAGTAATTTCAAAAAAATTCCTACGCACACGCAAGATCATGGTGATGCATAGCAACAAGAGGGGAGAGTGTCGTCCACATACCTTTGTAGACCATTAAGCGGAAGCGTTATGACAACGCAATTGATGTAGTCGTATGTCTTCACGATCGACCGATCCTAGTACCGAACGTACGGCATCGCCGCGATCTACACACGTTCAGCTTGGTGACGTCCCGCGAACTCACGATCCAGTAGAGCTTCGAGGGAGAGTTTCGTCAGCACGACGGCATGATGACGATGATGATGTTGCTACAGAAACAGGGCTTCGCCTAAGCACCGCTACCATATGACCGAGGTGGATTATGATGGAGGGGGGCACCGCACACGGCTAAGAACAATGTCAACTTGTGTGTTCGA